TCGTTTTTTGTAATTTTGTTAAGGTGAATCTTATATATAAAACGCTTTAAAAATTGTTCGATGGTTTCTTATATCATTTTCGGTATTAAATCAAACCATGATGAATTAACATAATATATTAATTGTTGTTCATTAATGTATTATGTTAAAATTTATTTTTTGTTTGTTTATGCAAATATATTTTTTTTAAATAAGCCTGTAGGATAAAACAGAATCCTAAACTAAAATATCTGACAATTAGGTATGCTTTCTCCAATTGGCATTTTTTCAACTTCAGGAAGACTAAGTTATAATAATCCCAAAAAATCCTAAATAAAATTGTTTATATATCTCTACGCTTCAAGATCTCCTGAACATTTTGACATACCTTATATTAGAAAAAATGGATGTATGCATGTGTTTGTGCGGTTACAATTTTTTGCCAATTGACATTCGATTTATAATATCGGAAAGATGTGCTGATTTGTTTTTTGCAAAGACAGTTCCATCCATTTCGGAATAGAGGGCAAAGAGTTAAAAAAATGCCAATTCAATTTTTCAAAAACGGAGCGTCCGATTTGAATAATTCAAGACACATTTTACTTGTATGACGAAATAAAGAACTATCGAAAATTTTGCGAGAGCATGGTCAGCGTTTTTGGTTATCCAAAAAAGGGTCATTTGATGGTAAAAAATGATCATCGGGCATACGCACATCAAACTATCAGATTTTTTATAAAAAATTTATGAATTATTACAAATTTTGTCTTCAATATTTTGAATCATTCCGTACCAAGATTTTTAACTTTTAAAGTTCACTAGATAGTTTAAGTGTCCTTTGCAAGGATCAATCGACATGAATGATTCAAAAAATATTCGCTTGGCTTTAACCGCAAAGCGTACTGTTTATGCCAAAGGCAGGTTTAGCATTTTTGGAGATACAGAGCGCAGAAAGTGCAAAAGTGGTGCAGGTTTTGAGAGTACAGATCATCCGATTGGAATGACTCAAAAAATATTTTGTTCTTGGTATTTTAATGGTATGAAGAAATAATTATAATTATTTTAAAACTATAGTTTTCCGAAAAGGCAAGTACACTGGTTTCATAATTTTGAGAAAATTGAAATACCTAAAATTTTCAAATAATCGAATTATTTTAAAATTAAAAAAACACAAAATTTTTGAATGTCTCGGTTTTATTTATCGAGTTTAGTCCAATGACTTTTTATTTTGTGAAATCTGTTCAGGCGTTTTTGAAAATTAAATTTTGATTCATCACATCACAAAAGCGACTTTTAACACAAATTTTGACTATGAAATTTTATCAAACTTTGATGAAGTTTTAAAATTGGCAAATCTTTCAGAATTTTTTTTCAGTTTTAAAAATCGGTTTCTGGCTTTATTGCAAAAACGTAATATTTTTGCTTTTTTATTCTTATTTCAAACAACCGGCTTGGCCGATCGTCTCGCAAACCTAATCGGTCCGGCCGGTTTTTACCAAAAACTAATGAATACGATTTCGAACCAAGATCTTCAGAATGGTTTTTGAATTTTTAAAATCGGCTTAAGATTGTGGGCTAAAACGTTTACGAATTTTTTCTTTCTTCTGCTAATTACTGCCTTCCTAAAAATTAAGGTAATTATTCATTCCGTTAATATAAGTAATTTTTTTTTGAATTATTTTGAAACCAGTCTCTCGGTTCTTTCAAAAACTGAATTGCGATTTTGCACTTTTGTTCTGCATTTTCCAAACGGCTAGACCTGTACTTGCCAAAAACTAATTAGAACTTTCTTATCTATGGGAATAAAACATGCATATCACACACACACAACAATTTTTTTTAAGGTATGCCAAAACGTTCAGAAATGTCTGAAACGTAAAAATATGCAAAAAAAAACGATTTTTTGCGATTACTATAACTTACGAATACTTTGCGCAAAGTTAAAAATTGCATTTAAGTAATTTAGAATAAAATTATGGTTTAATTAAAAAAATAAAAATTTGTCTATCAAAAAGGGCGCCTGATCAGATAGGGCCTAGGGCGGCAGAAAGCTTAATCCGCCACTGCAGTGCTGGATTACCCCATAGGCCCGTGAGGCCCGGGCCTAGGGCGGCAGGATTTGGGGGGCGGCAAATTTTTCAGAATGTCAAAAAAAATTTAAACCCAATAAAATGTCTCGATAATTTATTTCAAGGACTAATCCTGATTTTTTTATAAATTTACAGATCGTTTTATATAAAATAGAATGTAACTCGTAATAGGCGAGTGTAATCATTGATTATTAAAAATAACACAGACATCGTATAACAATAACATGTCTCTTATCTTGATGGCTATCCAGAAAGACTTTTTAAGTGTTTATTCATGATCTCAAATGTCGTTCAAGTTTAATTTATTAACGCAACGATAAATAATTCATCTGCTCTTATCATATCTAAACTAAACATATCCCAATAAAGAACCATTGTACTAGATTTTTATCGCCTAAAACAATAACTTTGGCGAGCAGTGCTCGGGTTCAAGTCAGTGGTTTCCAATTTTTGCGATGCGCACCCCAATCTAATAAAAAAATTGTGCCCTACTTTAATTTTTCTAACAATATCATTTCATAAATATTCAAATATTTAACTGATATTATCAAACTATAAATTAATATGCAATATTATGTAAAAATATACATAAAAAGTGAAAAAAATAATGATTTTTTATGTATATTTTTACCTAATATTGCATATTAGCTTGTAGTCTGATAATATCAGTTAAATATTTGAACATTTATGAAATGATATTGTTAGAAAAATAAAAGAGGGCGCAATTTTTTTTATTAGATTGGGGTGCGCATCGCAAAAATAATTAGAATTTCAAAAAAAAAAATGTTTTATTTTCGAAAATAGTATTTTCGAAACAGTGCGTCACTCTTGGAAAAACCTCGCGCCCCGCTAAGGGTTGGAACGGGGTTAAGTGGCTGAAATCAAATAATAACAACTGTATAAATCTAAGATCGAACTATAAACAAAACGAAGTAATTATTTTAGTTTTACGATAGCCGTTTAAGTGAAAAGTCTTATAATTTTATTATTGTGTTCAGTACCAGTAAAGAATTAAATTAGATATTATTTTGAATTAGACTCTTTTTTAACTAAGTTGTTAGGTTTGTCTGATTTTTTATTCACAATTTATTATTACAATTTATCATTTTATTTACAATTACAATGAGTGCGTACCGAAAAAAACTAAGTGGTGCAGAATATCGTAAAAGGAAAACAGAAGAATCTTTAAAATAAGAGTGTTTACTGAATAAAATTCCAAAAATTTCTAATTTTATGAGAACTGTGACAAGTTCAAGAAAATTTGTAAGTTATGATCAGAATGCATTAGGTTCATCTGTTGTAAGTATTTTGATTACTTGTTAGTATTTTTTTTAAGAATAACCTTGAAAAAAAACGTTTTTTTTTTAATATTTTTGAGCTTTTCGAGTTTGCGTCAATCGACGTCAATTTCGATGTAATGAGCTTAGTAACTTACCGGAGGCTAAATTATAGTAATTGCAAAAAAATCGAAAATGAAAATTTTCATGTTGTATTTTGACCAGACCTCTTAGTCATAGATTTTTCATGTTAAACTGCGCAATAACAAGCTGCAATCGTAAAGCAATCAAAGTTACTGTTGAATATGGTAAAGATATTTAAAATTTCTAGGTATTGAATTTGGCAGCAAGTTTTTACTTGAGGAAATGTGACATAACACAATCACATATTGTTTTAACCTTAATATTAACGCTAGAATTTCTTGGTAGCCAGCGAATTTGCTGTTAGTCTCTAGAAGATCATTTATTGACTTATTAAGGTTTTGCTTTGATTTTTTCTCAATTCTATCGTTCTTGATATTAACAATTTGTAAAAATGGATATTCATTAAAAATATGTAAGAATTTTGGGAGATCTTAGAAATGAATGAAGTTTTTAGAAATGAATTTATAAGAAGGCAGGTTCAGCGGTTTGATAAAGTGAAAATGTTTTGAAAATGTCATTTCGCGATAATATATGATGATTTGGCATAATAGCATCAAATAGTCAGATGTTTTAAAGAAGTTTAAATAAGAAGTACAAATTTTGATTACATTTCCGGGTCCCATACCAAGATTTACAATATTCAACAAAGAGACTGCTAAGCGGCGCTTATGCGCTTCGATATATCGTATTTTTGTCTATCGTAGCTTTTTTCATGAAAAAAGTAGCTTTTTTAGCTTAGCATACAGGTATATAACATATATTCAATTACAATAAATTATCCTACGAAAAGTTAATTATGAATATATTAACGTCAGTTGTAAAAAGATATTTTTGTTTTTAGCCGGAATTAAACGATACTTCAGCACAAAATACAGAAGCACAACCAAAACCTTCTGTATTGGATGATATAAATTCAAGCCAAACAACGTCGAATTTTTTTTATCAAAAGATGCGAAAGAAAATTTATTAGCAACCGATACGTTTCAATTGAGTGATGATCCTTCTTTCTGGAATTTAAACGATAAAACACGAGATTTTATAACTAGAAACGGTATACCAACAAATAATGTAACAGATTTTAAAAATTCGAGAAATGTTTAAAACGATAAAACGAGATTTTGTTCTGACAGTTTGTTCAAATACAACCTCGTGAGTTGTTAATATATTCAGAAAAAAAGGGTCGATATTTTGTGCTCTATATTTACTATTTGGTAGAAGCGGTGAAGTAAACGCTTTTACTGGTGAAGGGTTTCGAGATTGGAAGAACTCAAAAGCGCGCATTAAAGCTCATGAAAACTCTGATTTTCATAAAACCAACATTAGCCACTTTCTGTCAACACAACATTAGCTGTCATTCAAGGTCGTGTTGATCAACATCTAATGAAACAGCTCGATAAAGAAATTTTATACTGGAAAAAAGTTTTATATCGAGTAATTGCGATCGTTAAATCTCTCGCCATAAGAGGGCTGCCATTCAGAGGACATTTGGAACGAATTGGAGATCAACATAATGGATTTTTTTTTGGGTTCTGTCGAGCTTCTTGCTGAATTTGACCAATTTTTACAAGAACATTTAAAATTATACGCGCATCCCGGTCGTGGAAATACCTCTTATTTATCTAAAACAATTTACGAAGAAATAATATCATTAGTTCAAAGTGAAGTATTGAAACATATTTCCAAAGAAGTGCAATCTGCTAAGTATTTTGGTGTAATTGTGGATTCTACGTCTGATATCGCTCATGTAGATCAATTGACAATAATTATTAGGTATGTACGTGATAATGGCGAAATTGTCGAAAGATTTTTAGAATTCATTCCAAATACTGTCCATAAGGCTCAAGATATTGAAGATGCTCTATTAAAATCTATTGAGAGAAATGGTTTGGATATTATGAACTGCCGTGGTCAATCATACGATAATGCAAGCAATATGTCAGGTGTATACTCAGGAGTGCAGTCAAGAATCAAAGCAACTAACCCCTTAGCAGAATACGTTCCTTGTGCAGCTCATTCCTTAAATTTAGTGGGAACTTGTGCAGCGGAATCTGTAACCCAAGTTGTCGGCTTTTTTCTACTCTGCAAGAATTATACATTTTTTTACCATTTCAAACAATCGTTAGGAGATCTTAGTACAGCATACAAGTTTAAGACTCAAAAACCTTTCTCAAACTCGTTGGTCTGCTCGACATGATGCTTGTTACGCATTAGAAAAAGAGTGGTCTGGCACAATTATTGCATTGAAATTTATTGCTGAAAACAAATATGAAAATCCTACAACACGGTGTCAGGCTAGGGTATTGCTGCAAAAATTACAGCATTTGGAAACAGCAATACTAGTCCTTGTTTCGAATGCAATTTTGGAACGCTTCAATGCTGCTAATAAAAAATTTCAAGACTCAAAATCTAATTTATCATCTGTTTCACAAATGTATAGTTTTTTGGCATTATTTTTACAGGACATGAAAGATAAACAATTTTCCGAATACGAGGAAAAAGCCATAGCACTTTCTGGGGTAAAAAACTATTATCATGACAACTATCGTAAAGAACCCGAAAATTTCAGGCAGACGAGTCACAAGAGCATGAAAGAGTATTTTTATGTGGAGAAGAAAATTTTCTAATAAATATTTATTATCGAATTTTAGACACTTTAGGTGTTCAATTGGCAGGCCGTAAAAGTGCTTATCATACGCTCTATGAAAAATTTAATATTGGCAGATGAGTTACTAAGTATCCTGAAGATTTGGAAGACACATTAGGAAATGAATGCATTCATTTACATCACCTACTCATAGAATCTTTTTCAAGTAAGGAAGATGTTCGTTCCGGACAAGAAATATATAATTTTTTGCATTCGAATAATCTTCATGAAGTTCATCCAAATATAGACATTGCTTTACGCATCTTTTTGAGTATTCCTGTTACAAATTGTTCAGGAGAAAGGACTTTTTCTACTTTGAAAAGGGTAAAAACATATTTACGAGCAAGTATGGGCCAAGATATAGACTTAGTGCTTTAGCATTACTGACTATCGAAGCACAACTTGTTCAAGAAATTGATTACAATGATATTGTTGATGTTTTTACTCAGACAAAATCCAGAAAAAAATTATTTACGAATAGCTATAAATTATAGTTTTAGAAAAATGTGTATTATATTTATATTATATTGTTAATATTTAATAAACATTTATTTGTATTATTTAACAATTATTATTTCAAAAAATAAAAAAATGTATCTAAGTAATTTAAAATAAAAATATATTTTTTAAATAACAAATTATATTTTTGTCTATTACAAAGGGCGGCTGACTTCATAGGGTCTAGGGCGGCAGATAGCTTAATCCGCCACTGATCATATGTTATTATTCTCTTGACTATTAGTCAAGAAAACCTAAATAATTTCTTATATTGAAAATGAGAACAAAACATACAAAGCACCCCAGACAGCACAAGACATGCCAGGGAATGTCCCACTTGTCCTCACAATCTCCTAATATCGCGATATCCTATGAATATCCTATGAATATGCAACGGGACGTCTCAAAACCAAAGGACTCGAGCAGGTATAACGCACGGGTTCACGAACATGTCGCTCCCGTACGCGCACGGCTTGAGACCTCTAAACGTATATGTTTGTCTCTTTCTCTTTCGTCGCGTCGGTTTTGCGCCCTTTAAGGTTGGGGTTAGCGTCATCAAACAGACGCTATATGTAGAATTATCATAGTTTTTGAGTAATTGAGTAATAATAGTGAAAATTTTATTTGTTTTATATAATTATATGAGCGTGCGTTATAAATAATTAATATTATTTATCAAAATACTCTAAAATTGAGTAATAATAGTGGAAATATTATGTGTTCTATATAATTATATGTGCGTGTGTGTTATAAATATTGCAGCAACATATTGAAAGGGGGGCAGATATAAACGATGGTAATTAAAGCTTTCTGTGTACTGTTATTTGAAATACTATTTTACTAGTACAAATAGAATTTTTAATTTAATGCTAACATTTCTACCCTGCCAGCTTATCCAGCAGCCATGCCTAATTTTGTATCAAATGCTGTGTTTGAAAGAGAATTAACAAAGAAGAAATGCTCTCCACTATGTTTGTTGGAGGAGCTTCAACTTATGGAGGCTATTCTTCTGAGCAAAGATATCAAAATACAATTGGTAATCAAAAGTTTATATAGATTTATTTTTATTTGTTAACTTTATCATATACTAAACAAACTTTCTCTTTATATTCTGTATTTAGCCATCAGAGTCCAGCTATGAAAATCCATTTTTGATGATGGTTTGGACAAAGAATTTTGCTAGGGACGAGGAAAGGGCAAAAATAAATTTTGTGATCTAGTGCCTTGCGATGTCATCACAGGTAATTTATATATCTTATACTTATGATGTGTTGTAAATTATGAATTAAACTAATATATAATTAATTCCAGGAATTGCTTTGAAAAATTTGCCGCATGAGACATAGTTTACTGTTTCAGAGGCTGCAAAAAGCTGGCTGCGACGTGCCAATAAATATTATACAAGGTATTTTTGTGAGATGTGTACTATATGTTTTTCCTATTTACAAAAAAATCATGATTATTGACTGGTTAGTTGTATCAATGTTAGTGCAAAATTTGTGCTGTGTACACATTTTTAGATGTAAAAAACCAAGTTTAATATTCACTCGTAATGACATCAAATTGTGTCGATGTATTTGGAATTAGAGATTATTTTATAAATCTCTGTCTATTTTGATTGATGTATCGCTCTTAAAGAACTTACTCATATATATATATATATATATATATGCATTTATTCATTTGTTTTCTATTTCAGGAGAGAAAATCAACCATGAACTAGGATTGAATGCCGAATTAATTATATTTTTAATATTGTAAAATAAGTTATTTTGAATTAAAGTTGTATATATTAAATTTTGTTATAAAATTATCTCAGGATTTTGTTATTTTGTAATAAAAGTTTACTTTGTGAAATTGTGTTCTTTTATTTTATTTTTAATCCAAATTTATTTTTCATCTAAAAAGTAAAAAACAATTCCATAATTATATCCTATTCATGTCCGGTTTATGTCCGGAATATCCCGCGCGGGATATCCTACAGAACGTCCCATAGGTGCGACATATTAACATGTTTCGGATAAGATGAGGATAAGCGGGATATCCGTAAGGCTATCGCAGGGACAATGAATGTCCGCGCGTGGATATCCTGTGGACGTTTTCCAGGATGTCTTGTGTTGTCTGGGACAAAATTGATTTTCAAATATATTACAAACATATTTTTACAAAACATTCAAAATTAGTAATGAAATGTTTATAAATGTTATAATTATTATACTTATAAAAATTATCATTTTAAAATTTGAAGTAACTAAAAGCACACAAGTGTTTACAAAGTTTACAAGTAGATTACAAATTTACAAGGAATGATTAATATTAATTACTTAATGACTAACAATATATAAAAACTACACAGAAATAATGTAAGAGCTTTTACAAAAGTATAATAAATTTACACGGACGGACTAATATTAATTTCTTAATGATTAAATAATATATTAAAAAGTTAAAAAATTAGAATAGAAAAGTATAAAGTCTAAGTATGTACTAATTAGAGTATATACTATAGATAGATAATGGAATAGTATAATTAGAATAAATGACAAATAATGCACAATTTTGGAAAGTTAAATTCCACAAAATTGAGAGAAAACTAAATTCCAAGAATTAAAATTCATTTATGAGTAATTTTTCTTTCATTTTTGGTCAAACTAAAGACTTAGACATTATTCGCGATTTGTAAATTGAAGGGAATATTGTTGACAAGTAGGTAGGACATAATCGTCCGATTCATTGCAAATGCGATCATAAGGCTTGGGAACCCACGGTGCATAGATAAAGGAAGTGTGACACGGTGATCCATCCAGATCCATCAACACTACAAATATATGTATATATATATATATATATATATATATATATAAATATAAATATATTTTGAATTATTTCAGCATTGTATTAATTAAACTGTTTGCAAAATAAACATTTTAGCGCTATGTGATAACTTTTATTTTTCTTTTAATCATAAAATTACAATTATTATATAATAAAATGTAATTAATATATAGATAATAGTTATACATAATCAATATACAATATACAAATATATATTTTTCATTATTTCAGCCTTGTATTATTCACATTGTTTGCACAACAATTTGGTCTAGTAAGCATTAAATTTTGATAATATAACAATTTAATGACTTATAATTTTTCTTTTTACTAAACATAACAATTTTACTATTCATAGTACTCCGAATTGTATTTTTATAACAATAAGGTTATGATACTTACTTTATTCTTCTAACCGCAGCGATGATTTTCTTTCCACTTAGCTGTAGAAAATGTATATAATTTGCAGTCACTTTTTCTGCTGGTTTTTCTACAACCCAGTACACAACAGCTTAGTTGGCTCATTATTAAATATCTTATTTAAATTTGAAATAAACAAATATTTTATGTGTTCTTGTTTGAAATTTCGATTATAATAGTGTTAACTCTACCGTATTTATTATAACACAATTTTCTCTTGGTCACTTTATTTACTCAACTACACTACGTTCTCTATTATACGCATTATGTACTATACTTGTTTTACATATTACTCAACGCCTACTAGATACCTGTCATCTATTCATAGTTAACATTCGGCTATCCTGATCAATTCTCGTCCTCGAGAATGTAGTTTTCGAATTTCTTTAGTCATTTCCATTGCCTTTAGTCGTTCCCGAGTTACCATCACTCCCTGTAGTATTTGGAGTCCTTTCTATTTCTTCTAGCATGAAATCCATGTTCCTTCTCTTCTCTACAACTGAACACTTTGCTAATGGACTCTTCACAACTCGATGACTCTTCACAAGTGCAACTCGACTCTTCACGATTGGACTTTTCACTGATGGACTCTTCACTATTGGGCCCCTCACGACTACAATAGGATTCTTCACGATTGGACTCTTCTCTCTTGGGTTCTTCACGATTACAATAGGATTCTTCACGATTGGACTCTTCACCTTTGGGCTCTTCACAGGATTCTTCACAATTGGACTCTTCATTATTGGGCTCTTCACGATTACATCAGGATTCACGATTGGACTCTTCACCATTGGACATAATGTTTACTTATCTATGATTGGACTCATCACTAATGGACTCTTCACTATTGGGCTCTTCACGATTACGACAGGATTCTTCACGATTGGACTGTTCACTAATGGACTCTTCACCATTGGACTGTTCACTAATGGACTTTTTACTACTGCGGTCTTTGTTAAAGCAATTGCCTCTAATGAAATTTTATTGCCTCAGCCCTAACAATTTCCTCCTTAAGCGCTAACTCTAATGCGCCTAGATCATCATCATCATATCTACCTTCTCCATTTCCTCATAGCACACTCCTATTGACTCTCTCCCTATTAGCGCAATACAATCATCGATCTCGCTTCCCAACACCATTTTGTATACCTCATGATTGGGCACTACACCAGACCACTCTCTCATCACGAACCATCGATACCATCATTTTCATCATTTCCTCTTCTCGGC